TGTGGATCCGAAAACCCACAGCCAAGATTTTTATATTAATAAAGGGGAATTTAGGCCTAGATCTTCGTATGAACCTTAGATGAACAGAAATCTAGAATAATGAAATGGATTTGTATTAATATGATTGAAAAACACGATTAATACAAAGGATTTGGAAGGATCAATAAATAAGAACAGCGGGGTTTAGTCTACGAGTTTTAGCTCTAGGTGATTTGTCTATTGAATTCTGATTGGATTGGACTTGGTCCTCGAAGATGCCTTTCCTCCTGTTTATTTATACGCCTAGTCAGGTTCAACCGCTCCGAAATTCGCGTAGAATATTCTTCTCACGATCTCCGATCTCCAGCGTGTGCTCCCAGATTTCTGGCTGGGTTGATTCTACGATATCCACGATCTCCTCCCTGTTGTTGAGCTCGCGTTCATATCCGCTAACTGCTTTATCAGGCCCGGCTCCTCAACACGTTAATTGGGCCTTTTGGTTGAATAGACATGTCGGCCTTATTGTAATGGGCTTTCTTTGGGCCGTATTTTGGGGTGCAAAATACAACACCAACATATAACATAATTTTTTAACGATAACCCATTTACTGATATCAATTACTTTATAAAAATTGTGTTAGTGTCCATTTAGATATCATATGTGATTCATCATATAATTTTTTTTATCGCTTAATTGTATCGATATTACTCTTATTAAAGTTGCTCTTTTATTATAAACGTACAATTTTACAAATCAAACATTAATGCTTGAATTTCAAAAATCATCATTTTTCACTTTTTATTATTTTTTTATATTTTATTTGAAAATATTTTTACATAATAACGCGGCATTTGTTTTGGTTTTGGTGAAATCAAATAAGTTTGAAAGAACCGATAATCTCAAATGTATTCAATTTACATAAAAAAATGTTTTCATTTAGTCTTCGTGTCATGCAAATTTTATTTTATAAGATAAAATATATTTATCTATACGAAAGATAAACTATTTAATTTGTTTTGTTTCTAGTTTTTTTCGTGTATTATAAAAAATTATGAAATTTTTTTTTTGAATATTCTAATCCTATATAGGACAAAAATCTTGGTATTTATTATAAATATAAATGCAGAAGTTTAAAACTGTTCACTGCAAAAGCATAAAGAAAATTGTGGCCGAAATTATTCAAGCCAAAATCATTTTGTTAAATAATACCCGGAATAATGGCTTACATTTGTGTACTCATATTAGGCCCATTAGCTTAATATGTAATCCGTGAGGCCGACATGGGAATTGGTATGGCAAACCGATTTATTCATTTCAAGTTTTGTGATTAATTAGTGTTTACTGTTTAGTGTAGTATAATGAAGGATTCCTTAGGAATAATAAAGAATTTC